AATTCAAGGTGAATGGCTCTTGAACCCATGCACGTCACAAGTAGTCCGTATCTTTTCAGTTCTCGACGTCCATCTTTGACGACAAATGGTCCAAAACAGTCGATCCCACAGTACGTGAAAGGAGGGGCCGGTTCGATTCGGTCTTCAGGTAGCTGCGCCATTTTCTGAGTCTGGCATGATCCGCGAAGTTTTCTACACGTCACGCATCTGTAGATCAGGGATGAGACCGCTCTGCTGCATCCTATGATCCAGTAGCCATGCTCTCGTAGTGCGTTTATGGTGAACCCTCTTCCCTGATGAGCAACGCCTTGGGGATGATGCATGACAATCAGGCCAACCACATGACTAGACTTTGCATTAGGGAGAATAATGGGGTGCTTTACTCCATACTTCATCGTTGATCTGCTGAGTCTGCCACCCACTCTTAGAACTCCTTCCGAGTCGATGAATGGATCCAAACTGCGGATACGTCCGTCTGTCGTCTTCCCGAGACTCCCAAGCGTCTCCCCAAACGCCTCCTTTTGCACAGACTTGATGATAGTTGCTACGGCCTTCTGTCGGTCTTCCTCCACCAGAGGTACTCCGCCCTCTCCATCTTTCCGGACGTATCTGACGAGCACGGCAACTGCGTTGACAGCACTCCGCCAGTTGGAAAACTTCGACAGTCTGTCACATATTGATCTGTGGTCTCCGTCTGACGTCTGGTTCCTGTTGATAATCACACGTCGTACTTCTGGATCCTCAGCCAAGAGCAGGGTATCCTCCGGCTGCACCTCGGGATTCCACAAGAAAGCAGGTCCCTTGAGCCAATTAGACTGAATCAGCTCGTCAACATGTAGACCTCTGGATGCATGGTCTGCCGGGTTGTTTGCACTCTCGACATATCTCCACTGACTCGGCTCAGACACGTTTTGAATCTGTTGTACACGGTTAGCGACGTACACATGGAATCTTCTTGCGTCGTTGTTGATATACCCAAGGACCACTTTGGAGTCTGTCCAAAAGTAATCTTGGATGTTTGCGTAGGTCATTTCAGTTCTCAAAATGCTGCTGATCTTCGCCGAAACGAGAGCTGCGGCAAGCTCGAGTCTTGGTATGGACAATACTTTCAGAGGACACACCCGAGCCTTTCCCATCACTAGGGCACAGTGCACATCTTGATTTTGATTCTTCAGCCGAAGATATGAACACTGCCCATAACCGCTCACGCTGGCGTCGGAGAAGTGATGAAGTTCGCAGCTGACGATGTCTCCAAATTTCTCGGGGACTAGGCATCTAGGAATCTGTAGCTGCTCAAGAGTAGGTAGCTCTGCCACCCACTGTTCCCATTTGGGTCGTAAACTCTCGCTGAGAGGATCGTCCCATCCAACTTTCTCCTTGCACATTTGTTGTAGGATCCACTTGCCTCTCAAGACAAATGGTGCCAAGCATCCAAGGGGGTCGTACACAGAGGCCACTGCGGACAATACTCCTCTGCGAGTCAGTGGCCTTTCACCAAGCTTCAGTCGAAAGCAAAACTGGTCTGGAATCACGGACCAGTGTATCCCAAGTACTCTTTCCATTTGCGAGTCACCCAGGCTCATGTCCAGCGACTGATCTTTGGCTCTCTCAGACTCCGGAATAGAGCGCAGTACCTCCTGGTTGTTTGAGGTGAATTTGTGAAGCCTTAAATTTCCAGTGGCACACAGTGTTCTCGAGTCTTCCACGAGCTTGATGGCTTCCTGTGTTGTTGCACAACTCTTCAAGCCATCGTCCACATAGAAATCGTTGGTGAGGAAATCACAAACCTCTGAACTGAATTCGTCTCTGTGATCTGCGGCAAGTTTCTTCAAGCCGAAGTTAGCGCATCCAGGGGAGCTAGTAGCTCCGAACAGATGTACTTTCATCCTGTACGCTACTACTTCTTGATCCATGTCTCCGTTCCGAAACCACAGGAATCTCAAAAAGTCTCGATCTTCTCCATTGACGCGAAACTGATGGAACATACGTTCCACGTCTCCCATCACTGCTACTGGTTTTTCTCTAAAGCGACACAAGACGCCAATAAGGGAGTTTATCAGGTCTGGCCCTCGTAGCAAGTGGTCGTTCAAACAGGCTCCTTTGTAACGTGCGCTACAATCAAAAACGACACGAATTTTCTCGGGCTTTTTCGGATTGTATACTCCATGATGAGGAATATACCAGCTCGTAGTCGTGGTGGAATCAGCTTCTTCACTCGCGACTTCTTCAGCGTCCCTGTGCTGCAGGACGTTGTCCATGAACTTTCTGTAATCTTCGTAATATGTTGAGTTTGCCTTGAACCTCTTTCTGAGATGGTCTAGACGTCGCATGACCATGACTTTATTATCCGGCAATGTTGGTTTGCCGTCCCTGAATGGAAGTGGCATCTCATAAAACCCTTCTTCATCCTGATGAATGCCAGACTGGACAATCTGCAAAAACTTCAAGTCGTCCTGTGACATTACTGTCTCTTGGTTCTTGTCCTGGAAGTCGCTTTCCAGAATCTTGACGATCTGTGGAAGCGTAATCTCCTCGGAGATCTTTGTTCGGCATACAAAACTGACTTCGTCTCTCCCGTGCACCTTGACTTCTTCTGGAATAGGCTTCGTCAGTACTCTGTGTGTGATGTGTTCCTCATCTGTCGCACACATAGTTCGTCCAACTATAGTCCATCCTAATTCCGTTTTCAGACCAAAGGGCTCGTCGGCCGTTCCGCGAACGACGTCCATAGGTGCCAGTGCTCTCGGGCAGTCATACCCGATGAGCAGTGCCACTTCGCAGTTCTGTAAAGGTGCAATCTTGTCGGATAGGTTCTCCAGGTGGGGCCACTTCTTGGCCACTTCCGGTGTAGGAATGTGTGATTTGTTCACTGGGATGAAGCTCCGGGAATAACTCACAGGTAACCGGAAACGTTCATGACAGCCCACACCTCTGATCTGTAAGTCGGTGTATCGATGACAGTCGATCACGGATGTGGATGTCATTGTTGACAACTTGAGTCTTGTCGATTCTGGGCATGCACTTGTGTCATCTCCGATTTCTTCCAGCACAAAGGTTGTATCACTCTGCGTGTCTAACAGTGCATAAACAAGGCATTCCTTGTTTGGATCACCTTGTGATGAGAGATAGACTGGCAATATCATGGACGATCTACCAGCCACACTCTCTACCTTTGTTCGCGAGGACACTCTACTATCTCTGTCCGGTCTTGTAAAACTGCTATCTTGGTCAGCAGGGGGGTGGAGAGCTTCATAATCCCCATGTAGGATGGTGGGATGCTTGTTCTGACACTTTCCGCAGTTACTCCTCTTGGGACATTTCTTAGAAAGGTGTCCCTGTCTCAGACAGCCAAAGCAGAGTCCATTCTTCATTAAGAATTCTCGTCTCTCACTTGGAGTCTTGCCTCCGAATGCTCGGCAACTGTCCACATTATGATTGGGTTTGTCGCAGAATATGCAAAGTTTCACATCTGTTGGTTTCGTTGCTTCGCTAGCCAACACATTAACCCTTGCAGGTCGCCTTGTTGACTTCTCAGGTGATCTAGATTGCCTCAGGTTCTCGACTGTCACAACTGGATTGCACGCAATATCCGCCTCCTTTGTCAGGAATGTAACAAACTTCTCGAAAGAGGGAAATGATCCCTTTGCTGTCTCTCCTGTTACTATTCTACTCCATGTTCTGACCATCCAATCTGGAAGCTTGGTCAACATCTTTCTGTTCTCTCTGCAATCATTCAATATCTCCAAGCTTGGTATGTGAGCTATTGCGACCAAACACTGTCTTAAAAAGTCTGTGAACTTTCGCAATGCCTTGCTGTCATTAGCCTGAATGCGTGGCCAATTCTCAATCTTGTTTCTAAATCCTTCAGCTACCAAGAAAGGATTCCCATATCTTTCCTCCAACATCTTTAGCGAAGCTAAGTATGCTTCTTTGGTATCAAAGTAGAACAGACCTTCTACGGATTCTCTGGCTTCTCCCGACAAGTATTTTCTCAGATAGTGAATCTTTTCTCGTGGAGAGATTCCCTGATGGTCTATAAGCGCCGAAAATGCAGCCTTCCATGCAGGATAATTCAAAGGTTCACCATCGAAGACAAAGGGTTCCGGCGCGGGAAGTCTGCTGAGGTTCAAAGATTCACTGAAAGACTTGGTAAGGTCTTTAATAGCAGTTTCAGCAGCTGGTGTGTATATAACTTCGTGTTTCTGTGTTGTGAAGTCCTTTGAAGACTTTTTGATTACAGCTGGCTTAATGTTAATTGAAGAACCCTGTTCTAGAGCTTTCATCTCAGTTTCAGTTTTCTTCAATTCCATTTCCAATTTTTTTTCTTCTATTTCCCTTCTCCTTCTCTCAAACTCTATTTCAACTTCTGCTTGCCGTGCTTTCTCCCTAGCTTCTAATCTGGCTAAGTCTAATCTCTGCTGACTCTCGATTTGTCTAGCTTCCAGTTCAACCTGGAGTGCAGCAGCCTTAGCAGCTAACAAAGCTCTCTTAGAAGAAGTTGTATAACTTGTTTTGATGCTCATTTTATCTAGAAAGTCGAGAGGGTTTCTATCAACCACCCTTATACCATCAAGCAAGCTCATCAATCCACCATGACATCGGTCAGATGCAGTTCTAGCAGCACTGGGGACGCCATCTGGAAAGACGTATCTGAGCTGTTCATAGGCTTTGTCTAAGTCTTCACTAGCCTTCAGCACCTCCCGTTCCATGCTCATTTTTACACTGACAGAGCACTCTGTCTGGAGGTGTTTATCGATCTTCTCTATCGACTGATTCAAATTATTGACAAGTTCCCAGAACTGGGTTTCACAGTTCTCCTGTACCTTAATGCTCGGTTTGGGCGTTCTTTCACTACGCCTAAGAGTAGATTCCCTAACCTCATGTGTATCATCACTATAATGCTGTTCATCTGATGTGGTCTCTTCTCCCAAAGGACCTGGCAATGTTTCACCTCTGATTGACATGTTGATTAGTAGGGCTAAATGAGTGGAAATACTACAGGCCAAATACACTTTCTTCCCATAGATTCAAAATACATGCGACTACTTGTCGCCTAGATACCCAATAATATATGTGTACAGTGTATGTGGACTTGCCACAAATCCACTCATTGTGGGGACTCAAGCAAACAAAATACACCGCATATTCTCAACAGGATTTGGCTACTGTACACACATCAAAATACCTCAGTGCATATGTACGTGTATACATGAGCAAGCACACACATCAGTATTCAGCAACGTCATCATCAATACTAATGCAATACATCATCAATGACATTTCAAATATCAATGGTCAAAATGTGTGGATATCATAGTTTCATACACACATCAGGACATTCCCTGTCATAGAACAACATAGATAAATTCTAACAAAGTCTCTATGCTGCATGTCTTGTCGTCATCTAAGGCGCCGTCATCTGTGCAGGTATCATCAAAGGATCGAAACCACCAGTGTCTTCAAAGATCCGGAACGGATATCATCTCACGATAGTCTTGACCTCTAACCTCACTGCACCCGGCTGTAGTCGTTGACTGTAACGGCGGGTCGCAGGTTTCAGAAATAAGTCGCAAGTAGAGCTCTTGTCAGCACGGGTCTCGTTTATTAACCGTCAACTGTAACACATGTATACACAAACATATAATACCAAGTACAAACATATATATGATTACACACGAGAAACGTACATTTCGCAACATTTCTAAATTTCACATTCATATTCTTATATTCATAACTCGTAGTCATATTCGTAATTCGCATTTCGTAGTTCGTACTTCGTATTTCTTAAGTCAGTAGCATAAATAGAACACTGATTATGACTAGAACATGACTATAAACATGACATGTTCACACACACACTCATTATCACGAATGTACGTTCCAGGAAACGTGCACTAGCACGAATGTACACACACACACACACACACACGTTACACAGACATACGTGCACATATTTGCTTAATATGTGCACATTACATTTACATGTTGAGAAACAAAGAATACGTGGGATACACGAGGTCGGAATCGCACATACACAGTTTACACCTATTTCGATAAACTACTCCGACGCACATCATGACAATGTCTCCTCAGATCTAGGGAACTTCCTTTACTTATGTGCATATGAAAAACATTAATTTGTGACGATACTAACCGACTTTGAGCCTTCTGCAAGTTCTGGTTGCAAAATCGTAAACCCGCCGGGTCGAAAGCATATGGTCGCACAAAACACAAGTCCCTCACCCAATACATGTATTAATGCGCTAGAACATACAAAACTACAATGAAATGAATTTGCATGAATTTACAGTCATTCGTACACCACTGTCCTTTCAAAAATACATAGGACACACAATAAACCTCGATATTTATACGAGAAATAAATTATTACAGGAACTACATTTTGTAGTTCCTCATAACCGCCTTCAAACCGGAGGCGCTCTACGGTCAACCAAAAACAGGAAAATACCTAACGTTCAACATCCGCAGCGTACACACCTGCAGTTACATGCTGCTTCGGGCGGACATCTTCGTCGATGTGTAATCTCACCATCTTGTCCTTGATTTTGCCGATGCCATCAAAAAGCTGTGGGAACTTCCTGGCAGTGGGGTGGGATGGTACAGTAGACGACTTAGGATTTTCTTGGACTGCGTTAGCGAGCAGTAGGATCCCAAGGTCTTGAGCTGCACGGCATCCTAGTAGGTTACCTCCGGAGCCCTTGACAACGTGTAGTTTTGTGTCAAGCGTCTTAGAGTCGTAACTTACGGCTTGATGGACCACACCGAGGACTGGCAAAGGCTTGCTGGAACCATACGAGTAGATTCGCGATGATGGTGACTCGAGTGGTGGGCGTTCAGGAAATCCGTCATAAGTGGCTTGATCGAGGATATTGACGGATGCGCCTGAATCGATGGTCATTTGGACTGGAATTGCTGTGCGGCCAATCTTAACTGAGCAAGATGGCAGGCGTCTGGACGAGTTTCGTGTTGTAGCGGTCCAAATGTATTCTCTCTCATCATCGGATTCTTCGTAGTTGCTCACATTGCTGACAACATTTGCTTGGTGGTGCGACGGGTTGTCCATATTGGAGCTACTCGATTTGCAAACCTGAGCAAAATGATCGCGTTTTCCGCATTTTGCACATGTCTTTCCCCTAGCAGGGCAGTTCAGGTGGGGCAGAGGCAGGTTGTAGGCCACAATATGTAACACTTGCCGGTGTTGTTGCCCTCAATGTTGCCAACCTCAAAACACGAATTCGCGGTCTGTGCCTATCCAGTAAATGTCAGAGCTATGTAAAGGCGCTGGCGCGGTGAAGAGGTCTGGTGGTAACCCATAAAAACGCCCATACGATGAAGGGTCCAGCATGTCGCCCTGGTGTACTGGACTGCGAGGCGTCCCGATAAGTGCAACTGGCG